CCAAGTAGCTGGGACCACAGGCGCCCACCACAATGCCCGGCTATTTTTTGGTTGCAGCCATCATTGTTGTTTGGCGGGTCCGGGCTGGGGATTTGAACCCACCACCTTAGGTGTATGTGGCTGGCGCCTTAGCTGGTTGAGCTATAGGCACTGAGCCTGAAGGAAAAGGAAAAAAAAAAAAATTTAACTCAGAATGGACCAATGACTTAAATATGAACTAAAAAACATAAAACTCTTAGGAGAAAACATAAGGATAAATTTTCATGAACTGATATTTGACAATGGATTTGTAAATATGACACCAGAAGCACATGCAACAAAAAGCACATGATAAATTGGATATCATGAAAAATTAGATTTAAAACTTTTGGACATCCAAGGAGACTATCAAGGAAGTAACAAAGGAGGCAAGCACAGTGGATCCCAACTGTACTCCTAGCACTCTGGGAGGTTGAGGCAGGTGGATTGCTTGAGCTCACAAGTTAGAGACCAGCCTGAGCAAGAGTAAGACCCCCATCTCTACTAAAAATTAAAAAATTAGGCTCGGCGCCTATAGCACAATGGTTACAGCATCAGCCACATACACAGAGTCTGGTGGTTTCAAACCTGGCCCAGGTCATCTGAAACAACAATGACAACTGCAACAACAACAACAAAAAAAATAGCTGGGCATTGTGGTGGGCACCTATAGCCCCAGCAACTTGGGAGGTTGAGGCAAAAGCGTCACTTAAGCCCAAGAGTTTGAGGTTGCTGTGAGCTGTGATGACACAGCACTCTACCAAGAGTGACATAATGAGACTCTGTCCTAAAAAAACAAAAACAAAAACAAAAAAACCCAGAAAAATTAGCCAGGTGTTATGGTGGGCACCTGTAGTCCCAGCTATTTGGAGGCTGAGGCAGGAGGATCACTTGAGCCCAAGATTTTGAGGTTGCTGTGAACTATGCTGATGTCATGGCACTCTAACCTGGGCAACAGAGTGAGACTCTGTCTCAGAAAAAAAAAGAAAGAAGGAAAGGAAGGAAGAAAATGACAAAGCAACAAACTGCAACAGTCAAACTGCAACAACTCCTAGAATGGGAGACTATATTTGTAAGTCATATATTTATGGTATACCTGTAAATTACATCTTACTTAATATCCAGAATATATAAAGGATCCCTAAAACTCAACAACCAAAGACAACCCAACTTAAAGAAGAGCCAAAGACTTCCATTAACATTTCTCCAATGAAGATATATAAATGGTTTGTAAATCAAATCACAATGAGATACCACTTTACACTTATACTAAGGTGTGAAAGTTACAAGAAAAAGCAAAAACAGACAGAAGATAACAAGTGTTCACAGAATATGTAAAAAATGGGAACCCTAATACATTGCTAGTGGAAATATAAAAAAAAGTGCGTAAGTTGTGGAAAATAGAAGGGCCATTTTTCAATAAATTAAACATAAAATTACCATCTGGTCTAGCAATTCAACCCCTGTATACATACCAAAAGAACTGAAAATATGGATTCAGGGCGGCGCCTGTGGCTCAGTGAGTAGGGCGCCAGCCCCGTATACCGAGGGTGGCGGGTTCAAACCTGGCCCCAGCCAAACTGCAACAAAAAATAGCCAGGGGTTATGGCAGGTGCCTGTAGTCCCAGCTACTTGGGAGGCTGAGGCAAGAGAATCACCTAAGCCCAAGAGCTGGAGGTTGCTGCAAGCTGTGACACTACGGCACTCTACCCAGGGTGACAAAGTAAGACTCTTGTTCCTAAAAAAAAAAAAAAGAAGAAAATATAGATTCAAATACTTGCTTAATAACATTCCCTGCAACCTTGTTTACTATAACCAAAAGTTGGAAACAATCCAAATGTCCATAATACATGGACAGATCTTTTTAATGTGGTATACCCATGTAATGGAATAGCCAGAAAATGAAATAAAGTTCTGATTCATGCTAGAACTGAATGAACCTTGAAACAATTCAGCTAAGTGGAAGAAGCCAGACACCAAGGGACAAACAGTGAATGATTCCACTTCCATGATGTATCTAGAATAGGCAAATTCAGATACAGAAAATAGATTAGATGTTACCAGGGCTTGGAGGGAGAGGCAGTGAGGAGTTCTTGCTTAACGGGTACAGAGTTTCTGTTTGTGGTGACGAAAAGGTTTTGGAAACAGTGGTGATATTTGCACAGCATTGGAAATGTAACTAAGATGTAACTGAATTGTACACTTAAAATGGTCAAAATGGCAAATTTTATGTTACTTTTTTTTTTTTTTTAAGAGACAAAGTCTCACCCTATCGCCCTCAGTAGAGCACGATGGCGTCACAGCTCACAGCAACTTCCAACTCCTGGGCTTAGGCGATTCTCTTGCCTTAGCCTCCCAAGTAGCTGGGACCACAGGCACCCCCTACTATGTTACATATTTTTTAACACAATGAAAAAAAATTTCCAAAGGAGAGACCACAGAAAGAGTGAGAAGATTTGAATTTTTTTTTTCTCCTTCGTACTTTTCTGAACGTTTCAAAGATGCTAGAGCAGGAGTCGACTTTGGGGATTGAGAAAAGTAAAGGGAAAGTGGAACGGCAGACGGGAGCTGCGGACCGGCCATCCTACCTGCCGCTGTGCAGGGAGGCGCAGAGGCCCGCGGGCCGGGGCGGGGTCCCGGGCCGGGGTCCGGGCGGGGGCGGGGGCGGGGGCCGAGCCGGCGGCCGGGGCAGGACTGGGGCCCGCCTGCAGCTCCCGCGCGGCGCGCTTGTACTTGTCCACCAGCTCCTGCAGCAACGTGTTCTTCTGCAGCCGCGGCTGCTGCGCGGCGCCCTCGCGACAGGTGGGGCAGTCCCTGTGGCGCCTCGCGGTCCACAGTCTTTTCAGGCAACTGCGGCAGAAGCTGTGGCCGCAGGGCAGCGTGGTGGGACAGTCCAGCAGGCCATGGCAGATGATGCAGCCCAGGTCGTCCTCGGCCAGCCACACCGGGACCGCCAGGCCGGAGTCCAGACCCGCCATAGCGACTAGGCCGCTGCCGGGCCGCGGAAGTCGGGCCCGAGGCTGGGCCCGCCCGCGGCTGAGTCTCCTCCCTCAGCTCTTCCTTTCCTCCTCCTCCTCCCCGCTGCCTCGTCCCATAGATACTTCGGTTCACTCTTTTTCCTTCAGCGGTCCGGCGGAAACTGACTTACAGTCCCCACCGCCCAGCCCACAGCACCCTTGGGCAGAGCTGACCTTCAGTTACACGGCCTCTTCCCCTGGGAAACGCACCTCCCAAGCCACTAGCAACCTGCTGATGTCCCAAAGATTCCCTGTAGTTTGATGTCACCCCATTAAGATGCAACCTTGACAACTCTTGGGAGAAGGATTCGATTCAGGAGCTCATTTAAGAGAATGCGCCCACTAGGTGTCATCACTCCTCTAACGAGTAGTAAGGGATCCGGAAATGCCAGTGCCCTTGAACTGGCGAGCTCTTTGCAAAGAGTTTACTGCCCTCTGCGGGCTGAAAGCGCGTTCACCTGCAGGCACTCGGACAACAATACTAGGTGTTTTCCTGAGATGGCCCTCCTGCCACTTGTAGAGCTTGCTTTCTCCCACCTCGCCTCTTATTCCAGTCCTCAGCTAACTATAACCGGAAAATGCTAGAGGTGAAAGAGCGCCGAGTCCTCCCCACAGACGTAAATAACTTCCAGGCTCGTGTCGCAATAGCAGACAGTGGTAGAGACTGGAATTCGGCAATTCTCTAGTCTAATCTGTTGAAATGAACTAATTATGTCTTGTATGCTTTGCTTTACTTTTACCCCATCTTGCCTGGGCTCAAAGCAGATACTAGATAATACAAGTGTGTGACTATTTCCAATACTGGAAATGACAGGGAGTCATCAGCGCCGCTCATCAGAGTTCCCAGCTGTTTCTTTTCCTATGCACTTGGTAGGATTGGCACTGCTCTGTTGCAGTTGTCGTTGTTTGGGAGGCCCTGGGCCAGGTTCAAACCCGCCATGGGCTGGGGGTTTTTTTT